GGCGGTGACATGAGGGAGAGGGTTTTTACTATTTTGGTAAGTACAATTATGGTAAGATTAGATCTCCGTGCGTATCCCGATATTGTCTTCCTCGTGCTCCTATTCATTTGGAGGAGGATCCTGGGCTTGGACTTGAATTGGAGTGACAGAGATGATATGTATATAGCTTACAATTTTTTGGATTTCATTTGAATTAACAGTAATCTTTTGTAAATATATAACAGTGTAGATCTTAATCCGTATGATACACCGAATTTGCATTTTTTTCCTTTCTCTCCTTGCATTTTTTATCTTTTTCCTTAGTTATTTTTTTTGAAATAAGGAGAAGAGAAGTAAAGCTAAGGGGTTAGAAGATATCAAGTTAAAAGCAAGAAAATGATGTGTGAAGACAAAGGAGAAAATTTTGAGTATGTGTTGAGGTGGCACTATCATGTGTATTAAAGATATGATAAGATCAGAAAGAATCCATCAATATATAGGCAGAGATACAATAGGATCCAAAGATATCCATCGATATCTAGGTCTATTTTGATAAATATTGATGATGATAGGAATATGTGATTTATAATTATCGAGAAATAATACATCGATGTAGCCCCTTGGACATTTAGGTTTGCGGACGTAGGCACATTGCACATTATGCCAAACCACGTATGCCTTTGTCTTATTTCCCTTCCCTTTTTTATTTCGAATCTTAGTTATATTATGACATTTTCTACATGGCATCAGAGTGGGTCGGTCAGACCTTCGAATTTGCTTCCACTTTGTCCACAATTGACAGTTCTTGCTGATTGTCGATCCTTCAATGTTATGTTTTAATTTTTTAATTTTTTGGCCCAATTATGCAGTACTAAATACTCTTTGGTGGTTCGATTTCATTCACACCTTTATGAGGATACGGTCAAATGTGGGCTACAATCAAGTGAACAACTACGGCTCAAGAAGCAAACATATTTATAGTTCTCAAACCATTGGCAATGCTTTGTTTTGCAAACATGGTATTCACCAAATGCTATAAATATTCACCCGAAACTTGCATGAAAGCCCAACTGCAATTAAAGATTCAGAAGAGCTAGAGAAAGACGAACAGTGTTAAATTCAAAAATTTTAAAGAAAAAAAAGGGAAGAAGAGAGAGAAAATAGTGGGAAAAAAAGAAAGAAAAAAAAACGATTGAAAAAGGGAAGAGAAGGAAAAAAAATTATCTTACATTATCTTCATGGGGAGTTTAAGGGGGGGGGGGGGTTTATCACCAAAGTTACATCATCTGATTGACAAACAATCACCCCATATTTTAATTCAAGTTGGACACTTCAATTGATTTTAGTATACCAACTTGAAGGAAAGTATTAGAGAAATGATAGGATCAGAAGAAATCTATCACTATCTAGGTAGAGATACTATAGAATCCAAAGAGGTCTATTGATATCTAGGTCTATTTGAATAGATACATATGATGATAGAAATATGTTATTTATATTTATCTTGTGTAATTTCAACCCTATAAATAGAGTTGAGCCTCATGTAATCAATTACCGAGAAATAATACATTGATGTAGCCCATTGGACATTTAGGTCCGTGCACGTACACACATTGCACGTTGTGCCGAACTATATATATCTTTGTGTCTTATTTTTTTCCCCTTTCTTATCTCTAATATCAATTATATTATGAAATTTCTACAGTGTGGTGTGCAATAAAAGAGAGACTATCACAAAACTAGTTTGTAGAATACACAAGTTAGTTTTTACAATCAAAGTTCTGATAAAATGGTAGATGCCAGTCATTCATTAAGAATATATAATATTTTATTGCTAATGTACAATAGTTGATGGTGTCATATAGTGCATTAAATCTAAACATAAATTTTTTTTTGGAAAAAGGGTGTGGAAAGTCCTTGGGAGTACAAGTGAGTGACTGGTAGTGCATGTGTGAGAATTTGATTGGATGAAAGATTTTATTTTTTTATCTAATAATTTAAATTCTTGAAAGTTAGGAGATGAAAAGGTAAGATTTGTTAAGCCCTCTCCTTTTTAAATTAATTTTTTTTTATATATCGAGATATATAATAAACATTAGTAATGTACATTGTATTATATCACTATTCTATCACTTTATTTGCCTGTAACAGGGTTATTAATATATCACCATTCTATCACTTTATTTGCTTTCCATAGAGTATGAGTTGAGAATAGTTGAAATTTCATGTTTGATGTTTGTTTTTGTGTTAATGCTATCTACAATCAGCTATGATTTGTATTTATACTAGTTTCTGTTATACGTTATTAATTTGAATGTGAAGTATATAGAATTAACTTTTATTTTTTGTGGCGGCTGATTGTTGCATTTCAATGGTAATGTTTTACTTACCTATTAACCCTGATTGAATGATTTCTCTATTTTTATATAGTGATAATATTGGGAACATAAGTAATCATATAATTCATAGAAGTAAAAATTGGGATGAGTCTGTTACACACCTAAGTGTGGGATAAATAAAGGAATGATAATATAGTTTATGATTGTAGTACTGGTCATTTTACTCGGATGACACTAGGACACATTGATCATAAAAATGGCATTGGACAATATGTTTGAAATGCTACATAGCAGAAGTTTACAATGATGAGAAGTCAGGTTATAATGTCACAAAATTAACTAGCTGATTAGGTGACGATAACTCGAATGATTCGGAATTGACTTGAAGACATCTTAAATGATTTGATAGTGTCGCGAGAGACTCATAATTTATTCAGAACATGAAACAATATCAAATCAAAAGGTGGTGTGTCGGAGGCGACTCAACCAAAACGTATTGGTATCAATTGATACTTTAAATCATGACTAATAGCCTAATGTATAAACAAAAATATATCTAGAAAATTATGACAAAATTATCATGTCTTTTTAAATATATTATAAATAGTTGCAATTAGCTTCACTTGTTTGTAAATAAATGTAATTTGTTGTTTCTTGCTTTTGTCCCTAATAATTTTTTATAGATAGACTATGATGTATTTAAATACAAATATTTTATTTTAGTTTTATCGATGGAGAAACTAAAACTAAAGTTTGTAAATAAAGAGTTAACTATAGATAAATTATTGAGTCCGTCCGTAAGTGGGCGCACGCGGTTTTCATTGTGAGGGCTAATGGCCCACATATTTTTATATACGCACCTACGATTCCGTGGTAGGACGGCAAGGCATCAAATCCTGGTCGTCTTCTTAGACTGCTAGCCACTGCAATCCACGCAAGTGAACTCCAAGCTCCATCAAGAAAAGAATGACCTAAGTCAAGTGAGAAGAAATGGTCAAGATCAGGACACGTCACATTAAAAGAATGTATAAAATTATTTTGAGTTCGTAATTTTGATATTATGTTGGCTGGATGATGTTAGCGGTTGATTAGTTTGTGATATAGAATGCTCTCACATGTTACTCTGACTATTCAGGTGAATGTCCAATTTTCAAAACAAATTTCTTTGTATTTTCGGTAAATAAGTTTTATTAAATCAATATTCACTTTTTTTAGGAAATACTTCTAAATCAATGAATTTTTTTAGATCAAATTATTTTCCAATTAACTAACATTTTGTACAAAAATTGGGGCGTTACAAGTATATCAATTATTATATGTCAGATGAAGATTTAATTATATTTAATAAATTTCACTTGAATTTATGAACGACAATTTATCGTTAAAAAAAACATGTATTAAAAGTCCTCTAAATCTTTCTTTCTTTCTTTTTTCCATTATTAAGACCCATTAATCTGATCCTCATTCTTTATCTAAAAATATATGAGGGAAGATCATATGAAACATGGCGTTGAGGCACAAGCCAATCATTCAAATAATGGTGCTCCTTTCAGAATTAATGGTAGGTAAAGATGATGGCTGTGGTCTATGGAGACCATTAAGTATAATAATTTTTGGAGGCAATAGATTTGAAATGTGGCTCAACTAACTAACGTATACAAGGCTTAACAACAAAGACTGAGTTTATATTTGTTAGCTAAAGGGTTACTTATACGTTTAATACTGAATTTTCAAATTTACAAATTTGAATTCTGAAAGGCAATTATTGGATTACAATCAAACACAAATTTTATTAGAAAAATTTAACAAAATTTAGTGGGAGCCTAAAACTTTTGGGTTTTGAAAAAGGTCTTTCAACACACTAGCGGTTGGGACATCGATCCAAAGCTACCCCTCACCCCTGTAACACAGAACCACTTTGGGCTCGCAGAGTGTTCGATTTTAATTATTTGAATTTAAACTTGATTAATCTAATATAATTTTATTATTTTTTTATGTTGATTCAAATTTTTACATACCAACATCTGCTCTGTTTTATAAACATTGAATATAAATTATTAAAATAAAATTCATCAGTTATAAGAATCGATAATAAATTCTAATTAAATTCAAATTCAAATTCATATCAATCAAAAAAAATTTTAAATTAAATTCGTTGATAGGCCATACAAACCAGGGGAGAGCAACACATTGCTACCCCTCCAACACACTTGGACCACCTGCCACTTTTGCCATATTGATCTCCTATGAAAAAACAAAAATGGTGACCCATTCTTTTCTTATGGGGAGCGTGAAAACACGCGCCCACATAGTAGTGTGGGACACAAAATCCAGAATGTTAATCATTTTAATTTCTCGTAAATAATTTTTTTTTAAAAATATGGTAAATCATTGTCACCCTAACGTAATAATGATAAGATAATCAGAAAGACAGGAAGATAGTAACCTAACATTTGCTTACTAGTACGTGGATTGGTGTCCTAAAGAGTAATATTATTTGGGATATAATTTAAAAATATAATATAGTAATGTAATGAATTTTGATAGTGGAATGTTTTTAACAGTGTAATAGATCACATCATTAAATATATTTTTTATTACATCATTGATCAAAATATATTATATTTTTAAATTATACTCCAATAACATTTGTCCTCCCATTCAAGTAAAATTAGTTGGAACTGGCCCAAGCTATTGAGTAAGAAGGTGGCCAACCTCCAACAATCTTCTCTCTCTCTCTCTCTCTCTCTCGCTCTCTGGGTGTGTCTAAAGTTTCATCATCAACCATCAGACTAAAAGAAAATTATAAAAACAAAAAAGGTGAAAGGTGGGACGAAAAGTAAATCCTGGCCACCGAGAACCAGATTCAAAGTTCTAGAGGTAGAAAGTGGAACCCAATATTGAAGAAAAATTTTCAAAGGATTTGAAGGAAAGAAGGATGTTGTGGTATGGGAAGGGAAAGGGAGGTTGAGGAGAGAGAAAGGTAGAAGAGGGTAGAGAGATAAGGGAGTCCTGTTCATCTGCTCCTTGCTCTCTTTTTTCTTGGTTGGTGCAGCTTTTCTGAAAGGTCTTTGAAGATTGGAAAAAAATTTTAAGGTACAAATCTTTCTTAGGGATATATATTATACGAGTATAATCTTTTGGGTACGTGCTAATTATGTAGCTTATTAAAGATGACTGTGAATTTCGGAATTCTTTTTCTTATACTGTATAGGAAGAGATATAATTTTTCTTCCTGGGTAGTATATATTTTTTTCTTTTTTGGCTTGATTAAATCCATTGGTAGTGTCTTCTTGATTAATCAGCGACTTGAAATTGCTCTGTGTGTGTGATGTGATCTGTTTTCCTAGAAGAAATTCTAAAATTCTTGTTATATGGATAAAGTCAAATAACCCTTTTCCTTCCTTGAGCAAAGGTTAGTGTAGCCGCTGTGTGAAAGAAGATTTTCTTTTGTTCCCCTAAACATCATATATAGTTTTTCTGTCAGGTGTTTTACTGATCATGTTGCCAAAAGTATGTGTTTGTATGCATCTGGAGTTTAACTCTGGACAGTTAATTCTGCTATCGAAACCCATGATTTGTGTCTTTGTTTTGTATTGAGATTCTTAACCCAACCTCTTTCTCCATTTATTTTTTCTTTGGTTTCCAATTTTACTTTGTTTTGATTCATTTGAAATTGGAGCTTATGTTGCTGATCAACCAAGGTCTAATCCTAAATTGATTTCTTTTTCTTTTTTTTTTGGAGAAGGTAATGCTATTTATTTCAATGAGAAATCTTGCACAAATTTGATATCATCATAATTTGCCACCTGTTCAATTCTCAATATGTATCCCATGTATCAATAACCCCCCCCCCCTTCCCCAACCTCCCAATTCACTAGACCATTAGCTGCAACAGAAGAACATTTTGCATACAGGACTCTAAACAAAGGTTGTGCTATGCTAATGCAAAATGATGATGCATAAATCGGTTTTGTGCACCACTTATCGAATGATTAATATGGTTAGTAAAATGCAGTAAATATGATAGAAAACTCAACACAAACAATACACATAGATAGAGTGGTTCGGTCAGATTGACCTACTCCACTTTGAAGGGCTTTGATTGCGGGGTGTTTTATTGTTGTATGAGTGTGGAGATTTCTGAGAGTAATGAGATCTCAGGTGAATCAAGTATGAGATAAGATGTAAGATCTAAGATACCCCCATGTGTAGGTGGGGTTTACAATTTATAGGCGCCTCATAACAGATTGAGGCGTCAAATTCGTAACAAATAGGCTAATTTGGTGGAGGTGATACCATTCTCGTAATAGACGGGGTAGTTGCATGGAGATGGCGTGGAGATCCCTTTACCAGTTGTAGACTGGGTCTTAGGATGGCTTGATTGAGACTCTAGAATGGCGTGGCTGACTCTTGGATGGCGTGGCTCCAGAATAGCGTGACTGAATCCTTGACTTCAGGATGACGTGGCTGACTCCTTGGCTTTAGGATGACGTGACTGACTCTTTGGCTCCAGGATGGTGTGGTTGACTGTGCTCCCTTGACTCCGTGGTGAGCTGAGTTGGGTCTCATATGGGTCGGGCGCATTGGGCTTTGTTTGGGCCAGGCCCATTACTTGAGCTGGGCCTTTTTTGGGCCAGCCCCACTATCCGTGTTGGGCTTTGTCTGGGCTGGGCCCATTACTTGAGCTGGGCGTCGTTTGGGTTGGGCCCATTACAAAATATCAAAATTCTTCCATTCTCAATTTCATGCTAAAAGTTGTTTTCTGTTTACATGACTGAAATAAAATGCAATCTTCATATGTATTGTTTTGTTTGATTTTGGATAATACAATTTCAACTTCATAATTGGTCCTGCAAATACTAAATCATTATATCCTTTGGTTTCTCAGGGTGCAACACTAATGTTTGGAACATGGGAAAGAGAGGAAGTTGGTTTTCGGCCATCAAGAGGGTTTTTGTACACAACTCCAAAGAAAAGTCTGTTGATGTAAGTAAGTGTTTACATTAGGTAGTAATGAGATTCAATGGCAGCTACCAGATAATAACATTCAAATAAATACTGGCATTCTTATTCTCTCCTAGTTCTATCAAGTTTTAAACACTGGCAGCCAAATGGCCGAATTTATCTTTTGTTGAATATTTTATGACAGAAATATTTAAAAATATTTACTGAAATGAAGTATAATTTTGTTCTTGGTCATTTACAACTTCCGATTTCATCTTACCAACATGCCCAGAAGTTGAAATGGTATTCCTTCCTATGTAGCTTTTCTTTCTGTAGATAGTCAGCACTATGTTTTATATGACTGTTTGTCTCCAAAAGCATCTAGTAGTACTACTGGTGCCAAAAAAACGTAGTCTCAATTTTTGGTTCCAGAGGCATCTAAAGGATCCAAATACTTTCGAGGTACAAGCCTCTCCTATCTATTAACTCATTAATGCAGGGATCAGACAAGAAAAACGCTAAGGACAAGAAGAAGGGGCTAGGAATATTAAGGCATGGACAGACCAAATCATTTATTCCTTTCTTTCGGGAGCCGAGCAGTATTGAGGAGATATTGGGTGAAGCAGACAACCAGAAAATACTTGTCAGGCCTCCTACACCTTCTGAAAAGCCAAATTCACCACCATTTTTGCCTGCAAAGCCAGCATCTCCAAGGGTTGCCTCTCCAAAGGTTGCCTCTCCAAGGGTCGCTTCTCCTAGGGCTGCTTCTCCGAGGGTTGTTTCTCCAAGAGTTGCTTCCCCTAGGGCTTCTGCAACTAGCGTAGCTCATCAACGTAAAGAAATCAGTTATGCCTACAGACCAGAACCAACTCTAAGAAATCACCATCTTTCTGCCACAAAGATTCAGGCTGTTTATAGAGGTTATATGGTAAGGTTCCTATCTTCCCAGCTGATCTTTGGAAAGTTGTTTTTTGGAAAGTGATGCATGAAAGTTCATGTAAAATATAACTTGTATAAATATGGATCCATTCACCGGTGCAAGTAACAAAAAAACCAGACATATTGAGGTCTATCTCAAGACAAATAAAAGCCTGTTCAAAAAAAAAAAAAAAAAAAAAGAAAGACAAATTAAAGAGACTTTTGTCCCAGATACCCAGGGTTTTGCATATCTTTGTTAGTGTTGTGGTTCTAGAGGGTGCTACATATGTCAGATCATGAGTAAAAAATCCTACAGTGAAATCAATCATTAGAGTGTCTTGTTCATAGCAAAAAGCATAGTGTTACCTCAATTATCTATTCTATATGCAGGAGCCATGTTGTGCCATCTTGCAATAAAATGTACATCAACATCCACATACAGAACCCAAAGGCAATTGGTTCAACTGTGCAAAATTTTTACATTTGATATTGGTTACTGCATTATGACTCCAACATAACCCATTTTTGGCAGGTCCTAACTCTTCTGTGTTCAGTCCAAAAAACGATTCTTGTGCTTTGGCGAGGGACAAACCTAGCTTCACATACTAATAGACCTGATTACAGTTGGACCAGTTGGATTTCCAAAAATATTGGTCATACTGAGGTCAATTGGACTGTATTTTGCCCCAATTTTGGCTAGAAATCCATTAAGAAAAATGCGACACAGATACCATGCCTGGAACCTTAAATGGAGGAGATTCTGAATTGATTTAAATTGTTACATTAGGAACTTTAATTCTAAGTTTATGTCAGCTTAAGCTGGCCATTCGGGCAGTGGCTTCCATTGTGGACTCTTATGCAGTTGAGATAATTTGTCATTAGATTATTTCCATATTGAGATAACTTGTTTCAATGCTCCAGGCAAGGAGAAGTTTTAGAGCTTTGAGGGGTCTGGTGAGGCTTCAAGGAGTGGTCAGAGGCCAGAATGTGAAGCGACAGACGATAAATGCAATGAAACAAATGCAGCTCTTGGTGAGAGTTCAAATTCAAATACAATCACGAAGGATCCAAATGCTAGAGAATCAGGCACTCCAGCGCCAAGCTTACAAGAATGACAAGGACGTTCAGAGTACCCTGAGCAAATGGACAATGGGGCAGCTAGTAAGTTTCCATGTGTTTAAATAGTGATTTTACGCCTACCTGTAGCAGTGGCTTAACATAGATCCAAAAACCTTTTCATTTTAACTGGTCCCACTGCTGGCCCATAATGGGAGGTATTGATAAATAAGTTCAACTATTCAGTTTGGGCTGTGCTTTTTGACATTGGTATGGTAACTTTTGTAGTTCCAGTTGCCCTGTCCTATTCAACAAGAATGTAAATTTGGGTTGGTTCCATGTTTTGGACTTGTTTGCCTTGTCACTTTAGGCTAATGGCTCATCGAAAAATGATGGATTTGTGTCACCCATAGATGTTAAGCTTATGATGTAAGAATTGTTCTATAAACACGGTGCTTTCTTTTATGGTTGTGATGCTTAGCTCCTGAAGAAACATAACAGAATTAACACTGCTTAGCTGTCAATGGCAGAATACTGAACAAGTGATAGATTGTCCAAAGTGCAGGAATATGTAAATTTCTCTCTTTTGTTATCCATCAAACTAATATCTATTGTTAAATAAAGGCATTTGCTTTAGTCTGAGGCAGGTTACAATGAAGAATGGGATGATAGCTTGCTAACAAAAGAGGAAATCGAGGCAAGGTTGCAGAGAAAAATAGAGGCAGTCATGAAGAGAGAAAGAGCCATGGCCTATGCATATTCCCACCAGGTATTATATACTTTTTCTAATTCAGGACCTCTCTGATTGCATCATGTAGAAGGACTATATGATCTATATTAGCAAGCGCACTTGATTTTCAGGGGCAGCTCACCAAATGTTCCAGCAGTTCTGTATTTGTATTCCCATATTTTCATTTTCATTTTCAATGTAATATATCTACCTATTTCTACATGTCCTTGGAATTTTTCTTTGACTTGAAACTTCTGTTACCAGTTGTGGAAATCCAATCCTTTATCGTCTCAAACACCTCTAGTGGACATACAATCTGGTGGATTTCCCTGGTGGTGGAATTGGTTAGACCGCCAGCTACCTCCAGCAAATCCTTCTGAAAGCCAAACTGCCATGAAAAATGTTCATCGAACGCCTCCAAGGCCAACTTCAGGGATGAAACTGAGTCCACGACCCCAAACAAGCAACTACAAGCAGCATAATTTTGAATTTGACAATCATGACACAGCCACACCAAGGTCATCAAAATCAACAGTACCTGTGAGAACCAGACAACTGTATACTCCATGGAGAACCCCACCTGCAAGCAGCTCAAATCTAATGAAGTATTCAAGACCAAGAGCTAGCGCAGCTGACTCTACTTTTGATGTGCAGTTGAAGGATGATGACAGCCTCACAAGCTGCCCACCTTTTTCAGTTCCAAACTACATGGCACCAACTGTTTCAGCTAAAGCTAAGGTGAGAGGAACTAACAATGTTAAGGAGAGGGTACCAGGTACTCCGAGCAATGAGTCAAAGAGGAGGTTTTCGTTCCCTTTGACTCCAAACATTGGATCTTTTAAGTGGAACAAAGGGTCTAGCAAGGATTCTACTTCTCAAAGGGTGTTGGAAAAACATGTGTCTATGCATTCTGTAGGGGATTTGAGTGTGGATTCAGCCATGTCTATGCCTGCTGCAGTTGGGAGGAAGCCATTTAACCGATTTGTGTGATTCATTTTCCTTTTACATTTTTAATTTGTCAACCTTTGTTTTAACTATTGGGGCTTCATGTTTCACCATTTATTTTTTGCTTTTATACTGAATGTATGGTGAGATGTTAATTACAAATGCTGATGTATAATAATAAGGAAACAGTAGAAATGATGGTTTGAATGAAACAAGATTTGGGTTTTTGAAGATATAGTGTGCACATGCCTTCTGTTGGGCTGCATTGCCCGCTAAACGTTCTCTCCAGTCATTTCAGTTGCATCCAAAAGCAAGTCGTTATGATGTACTGCTGCGAAGAATTTGGAGGAGAAATAAATTTTTTTATTTTATTTTTTGGGGTCTGGGAGGAGAAGAAGTTGACAAGTCAAAGTTCTTTTGTTCTTTTGGGACTCCTTGTTTGTTTGTAATGTTGAATTGAATGTTACTGATATGTTCCTCACCTTATTGAAGAAATAAAGAATGCCCGAAGAACTTGAATAGAGGTGGACAATAAACGCGAGCACCAGGTGGAATGATTTTCTCGAGGATGCCTGAATCATTATTTGTGGTTGGACATTTGATTTTGTTATTGTATTCTGTATTGGGTTCATTGTATTAGTTTTGTTGTTGGAAAATTATGCTCTTTAGTCTGTTGTATTTTGAGTACGGAAATTCCTAGTCTATTTTACTGGATGAGGTTGTTTTGGTATTGCAATATTAGTAAACTCAACTCAACAAAGTCATATCCTAATATTTTTGGGATAATTTACATGCATCTTCTTTGGCTATTGTGCTTTTATCATGAGTCATACTTTCTATTAAATCATGGATTATCATATCTTTCTTTGCTATTTCTTTTGGCTATTGTGCTTTATCATGGGTCATACTTTCCATTAAATCATAGATTATCATGTCTTTCTTTGCTATTTCACTTAAAGTTAATTTTGGTCTACTTTTACCCCTACCCTTACCTTTAATAGCTATTATATCATTATTTCTCACTAGTGCCTTAGTAGGCTGACATAGATATGTCTAAACCACCTAAGTTGATCTTCCTTAATTTATTCCCTCGATGAGTTACCCCTATTTTCTCACAGATAATATCATTCTCAATTTTTTTTTCTTTCATTGTTTTACCACATTTTTATTTTAATGTTTTCATTTTCGCCACACCCAATTTGTGAACATGTTGTTTATTAGTTGCCCAATATTCTGTACCATATGACATACATAACAGGTCTTATGGTTGTTCTATTAAACTTTCCTTTTAGCTTAAGTGGTATGTGTGTATCACACAATACACCAAATACATTCCTCCATTTAGCCCATGTTGCGTAATAATGAAAAATATTTCTCAGAAGCCATGGTCATCTTAGAGGTGTTTATGAATTCCTTAACTTAGCTGAGCAGAAGAATGGTAGAGATCCATTTGAATTAGATCCTATTAAATCAATGGTCAAAAATCTCTCCCAAAAATTCATTCTTTCGCCAAAATATGCCTCCCAATTTTTCACCCGCCCTCTCTCACACGTGCGACTCATGCCTCCCAAAATTTTCAATTTGTTACAATCCCTCAAGTGTAGCTCCTCTACAGTTAGGGAGAAGCAACACAATGTTTTGAGGAACGATGACGTTTTATTAAGTTTGCACAACAAAACATTTTGGGCTAAAAACAAACCTACAAAACGATGTCATTTCATTAGGTTTCCACATTAAGTTCTTCCCCTAAGACAAACCCCGCCAAACATTACAACGGAAAACTAGAAATAGAAGCATCTCTTACACCGGAAAAGCGACATCAGTTCATGACCACCGACATCTATTTGCAAAACCGGCAACAGTAAATTGGGAATTAAATTAGGTATATGAGAGAAATAGAGAGAGAGAGAGAGAGAGGTTGTTGTGATTTGGTCCTCTCACTCCCACTTATTCTTGGGTCTGTTTGGTTAGGAAGAAAAAAATGATGAAAATGATAGAAAGTGAAGTAAAAGAAAAGAAAATATATTTTATTTGGTTAATATGAAAATTTTGCAAAAAAGTTTTAAAAAATTTTCATTCTATTGTTTGAAAAAAAGGAAATTTACAAAAAATGTTTCTAATTGTCTAAATTACCTGAATTACATTAAACCAGTAAAAAAATGAAAAAATATATATTATAATTAAAATTTAAAAATCTATACTAATAATATAGAGACAATTTCAAAATTTTTCAATTGAAATCAATCCTCCTAATTTAGAAAAACAGAAGAACGGTTAGGATTTAATTGAATTTTAAATATACAATTCAGAACTCATCTAAATTCATCTAATTAAATCCAATGGTTCACAATCCATTCCACCCAAATACATCCTCCCGCCCACCATACCTACACACATGCCACCCATTTTTTTTTTATTAATACGCCACCCAATTCAAACGTCTCTCTCTTTCTCTTTTGCTCCTTTGTCATGGAAGACGCTAGGTACCCCATCTCTCTCTCTTGCTCCTTTGCCATGGAAGACGCTAGGTACCCCCCCTCTCTCTCTCTCTCAAGAATGAGCCCAAATGACTTCCTCTATCTCTTCGCGCATGAACACACACACACACATATTCATACATACCCACAACACACACATGTTCGAACACACAAAACACCACACACACACACACACATAGAGGTAGTAGATACACAAATACCATAGAGAGAGAGATCGGTAGTAGATACACACACAGAGGCAGTCACTTACACACATAACATAGTCATATTCACACACACATACAAACAACAGGCACAGATATTTTAAAGCAATTTTTTGGATGTTAATTTAGGTGTTTAAATTAGTGGCTAATTTTCAAATTGGGGTTTCCATGACATCGAGTTTGTTACTGGCAGGACTCTAGGTGGCTCTTCAGCCCCCGGGTTGACACGTGGAATAATGAAGTCGTTGGGATGTCTAAAGGGTACCGAGGAGGTAAGCCGAGGTATGGTGACACGGAGCAGCCGAGTACGACAGCTGACATCGTATTTAATGCGATGTGACTCCACATTTATAGTGGAATGAGTGATAGTGACAAGACAAATAAATGCGTGCCTGTCAGCCCCTACCTTCTGGGAGTCTAAGCCTACTATCATGATGACTAAGCATTAATGGCTGATGCGCCAAGACGACGCGATCAGCTCTCCTGAGGAACTGTTCTCCCCCCAAGTATTCAATGCTCAGTTGATGTCAGATGCCGATCTGGGGGATTTGGGTACTCGGGGAGTGGCATAAATGCTCGGCACATGGCCGAACATTTATCCCATTTTCCTAGCATTCAATAGGAGGTGACGTGAATAGAAAATACTCATTGCATGAGGACTGGTGTGTCAGATGTGAGATGTCCAGATGAGACTGGAGATCTTTGACAATCATTGCTAATTCAGGTATAAATACTCCTCAGAAAAATGGAGAAAGGTACGCAAACTTGAACCAGAAAAATAGTTTATTAAGAAAAACCATTTGATCTTATACTAACTTAAGCTTCAGAGGGGATTAGTCAGGCACACGCCTGACTCCCTTTTTTCTGACCCTGCTGTTTCAGGTTCGTCAACTGGAGATCGCTGCCCTCACACGATTACAGGAATTATCCCGTGCAATTTGGCACCGTTTGTGGGAACAAAAGCATTTTTCCTGATAACGATCGTTTGATGGTGAACACTCGATCTCAGGATGGGGGAACAGGTGTATGGGCCAGGAATGCAGAGCTCGTCCGACTTCCAATGGTTTTGGAGTCGGGTTCATTGGGCCCATTAGATGGGGTGGGGCATTCTTCGCAAAGAACGCTCCCTATGGATCAAGGCCTTGGGGGGCGTGACCTCATGGCCCATGATATCATGAAGATGGTGGAAAAGTGGATGGGCAAACGCATTAAGCAGCTCAAAAGGGAAAACGTCAAAGTCCAGCAACGTCTTGACGATTTCGAGTAGTCAGCAAGCGCGGGTGAGCATAGTTGCGGGGTCGGGGACCAGGTGCCCAGCCAGAACCTATCCAGACCCCCCTGACATTGGCCCTCCAGGAAAGATTGGATTAGGCACTCGCCCGAGGGACGTGACCGTCAAAGAGGGTTCTCGACCTCCAAGGAAAAGTCGAAATTAGGCTAGAAGGCAAGCCTGTCTAGGTGGGACCTGCGCCGAGGCATACTCAAGGGTGTCAGAGTCGCCGAATCTCAAGCAGAGTCCATACCCAAAAGGTCTCGAAGGGAGAGATCAACCAAGGATCCCCGGGTCCTCTTCATCGCTCAACGCAACCATGAGCTCGCGGTCTACTCCGACGAAGTTATCTCACTGTTCGTCCGGGCTATTAGGGAGGCCAATATGCTGAAGAAGTTTATCGTCCCACGGTTCAAAGTCTATGATGGGAAAACCAATCTCGAGAGCCACCTTTGACAATACAGACAATTGATGTCAATCTATGATACTGACCAAAGGGTGTTGTGTCAAGTTTTTTTCATGAGCCTAGGGGACACCGGCATGAGGTGGTATGAGAACCTTCCTCTCGAGAGTGTTGGGTCCTGGAGATAATTGACAGAGCTCTTCCTAGCTCGATTCATCACCAGTAGTAAGAAGCCGAAGGACATTGGCACTCTGTTGACGCTTATGCGAAAAGGGGGAGAGACATTCCGACAATATGCCGTCCAGTATTGGGATGAGGTGAATGAGGTGGAGGCATGTTCAGAGGCATTAGCCGCGGCATCATTTAGGCTGGGGCTGTCCCGAGACATTGATTTGTACAAATCGCTGACCAAGATGGCTCCGACGGACATGAAAGACTTGATGACTCGGATTAACAAATATGCCCGGGTGGAGGAAGAGTCCGTCGTGCCTGAAAGTAGGGCCACGGTGCTGAGAAAAAGGGAAAGGGAGTAGCCGTCTTGAAGGGGAGGGCCTATTCCACCCCTAACTCGCCTATCCTTCCAAGTAGTGAACACGGTTTTCAACAAGCCCATTCAGAGGATACTCTCCAAAATTAAAAATAGACCTTACTTCAGGTGGCCCCCGAGGATGATTGGAGACCCGTCGATAAGGAATTCGGCCTTCCGATGTTCGTATCATAGAGATATCGTCCATTTGACGGAGGAGTGCAAGACTTATAAATCCTTCTTCGAAAAATTGGTGCAATACGGACACCTTGGGAAATTCATCGACAGGGGTCGTCCCGGTGGGTCGGCGAGGGAGCGAGCCGAGGTGCCAGCTGAGGTAGCACCGTGATTGATGTTATCCATGCCTGCACAGTGCAGAGGCCTATATACAACTCCCTCTGCGCCGAGTTGCAAAGGGTCTCTCAAGTAGTCAGGGTGGACGAAAGGGGTGATGAGCGGCCGCCCAAGAAGCCATGGAGCGGTGCCGAGGTTATCCAATTTTTTGATGCTGATCTTGGCGGGGTGGTGCTCCCCCACGAGGATGCATTGGTGATCACGTTGCGGGTCGAGAAGTTCGACGTTAAGAGGATTTTGGTGGACTCGGGCAACTCCTCCGAGGTAATGTACGATTACCTCTTTCGTAAGATGAGACTCTCTCAGAGGGATCTGGAACCTATAAAAACCCCCCTCATCGGCTTCAACGATTCCAGTGCCCTGCCCCTTGGAAAAATCACTCTCATGGTACGGGCGGGGGTGGTGACCACG